CTATCATGCTAAAGCGACAGTTGACTCCTCCCACACTAACAAAACAGGAGGGGAGGGGTTAGCTGCAGGAGCTCATCCTGTGCAGCGGAGCCGGGAGGGAGAGACACGAAGTAAACAAACAAGCAGGAAAATGAAACTTATCGGCCCCTTTTTTTTTACCGACCTCAAAAAAAGTTATCGTGCGATTAATTGATTTATTGACTATCGCGACAGGCCTATGTGTGTGTGGGTTCGGCTTTGGCGACATTTGGGGGCAATTTTAAGACAAAAATCAGGGTTAGGCTGTAGAAATGTAATGGAAGTCAATGGAATGTCCCCAATTAGATGGCTGTGCAAACTTGTGTGTGTGTGTGTGTGTGTGTGACCTTGTTTTTCCTACATCGTGGGGCCCAGTTTTAAGGAAAATGCAGCCTTGTGGGGACCGGGTGCTCCTTGTGGGGCCCAAAGCCTGGGCCCCACAACTTTGGAGGCTGATTTTGGGTATGGGGGTTGGGTTTAGGACCAAGGTGTGAATTGAGTTTAGGTTAGTTTTAGGGTCAGATTTAACCTGTGAGGTTAATTTTAGGGTAAATGTCAGGGTTAGGATATAAAATTACCAAAAAATGAATGAAAGTCAATAGACGAACCCCACAAGGACATAAAAAACAAACCTGTGTGTGTGTGTGTGTGTGTGTGTGTGTGTGTGTGTGTGTGTGTGTGTGTGTGTGTGTGTGTGCGCCTAGCAAAATTTCTCAATGGAAGGATTTTATTGAAACTCTCAGAAAGTCAGTCTATTCAACTTGTGGCCCGCGGGCCACATCCGTCCTGCTGGTGACTTCCGTCCGGTCCGCCAGAATTTTAATTAATTTATTTTTGCTTAATTGAAAATCAAACTGAATGGTAAATAAATGGTAACTTTTATATTAATGAATTAATGTAAAAAGTACATGATAAACATAATAATGGTCATTTGTTATATATATTGCAGTGTTTCCCCTATATTATCAGGTAATGACTCCTCACCCCAAAGTCTGTCCCCCAAGCTGCTGGCTTTGAGAAAATGCGGCCCCTTGAGAAATTTGAATAGCCCTGATCAAAGATGAATCAACCTTAGCCAACACATAAATGTCTGTAAGTCAGTTTTACAGATACTGAGTGTGGTGGTAGTAGTTGAGAGTCATCCTCATCACATGCTTTGAAGACTAACACATCTCACATGTTTAACTTTTTTTCCATACCTTCTAGATTTTCAGCATCCTCGGGCACCAGCTCCACAACCAGCTCTCCGTCCTCCTCCCCCCTGCTCAGCCAGCGTGAACAGGGGAAGTGATACGTAAGCACCACCTCCTGCATCTCCTCTCCCCCCTCTTCGTCCTCCTCCTCCTCGTCCTTCTTCTTTTTCTTCTTCTTCTTCTTGTCGTCTTTTTTCTTCTCCTTGGGCACCAACGCTGTGATCAGATGTTTGACGTCCACCGTCTCCAGGAACCAACCGGCTCCGATCCCAGAGCCGTCSTGACCGATGCGCACTTTGAAGATCTTCCCCACATCTTTGGCCTCTATCTGCGCAGCAGTTACAGTGTTTTCACTTCAACGGTAAATGTAATCAGAGATGATCCGAATCATTAAATTCACTTCCATACCTTGAATATCTCAGTTGTGTTCCGCTCAAAGTTGTTGGAYCTGCTTTCAAGCCGGATCACCTCTGTCTTTCCTTTGTCCCCGTAGATCTGAATGAACACTCTGGCGTTGGTGCCGGCAAATATCACATCTCCAGTAACTACTACGACCTCATAATTCATCACTGGTAAATGGAGGATAGATGATAACTTCTTGTTAGGAAAATGGTCCTTACTTTTAGATTTATGTGCAAAGGAAGTCATAAAACCAAAAACCTGAGTCCAAAAGATAATGCTTTGCAACTTTTCAAAAATCATAAAAAAATAAGATGCTCAGTGTTAAAAAGTAGGTAAAAATGCACAGGGATACAATTTTAACATTTTACAATTTTATTAAATGACACATTAATTTTTTTAACATGCAAAGTAAAAATCATCTCATGAATATTTAAATATTTTTTGTTAAGGATGTATGAAAGGAAGCTTGTTGTAAAGTCCCATCTACACCCATTCCCTGTTTTACCWATCACAGCTGCCGCTACTTCTCTCATCATCCTAAGTCATTTTAGTTACTCAGTTTTACTTTACTCGCCGGTTGACCATCATTTAGTTTTTAATTTAGTGTCAGGTCTGCATCCTTGGGTCCAGCCTCCATTAAAGGGCCAATATTATGTTTTTCTCAGGCATATATTTAAATACTATACCATAATAAAGTATAAATGTCACCTTTAGTTGTTATTAAAATGCTGTTTTTATGTTTAAATAGAAAATAAACTTATCCTTTCACCACTTCCTCTTCTAAATGCCGTGAAATTGGCCTCTGTCTCTTTAAGAAACACCTTCTGCTTTTGTCCCACCCATTTCAGTGTGTGTGTGTGTGTGTGTGTGTGT